CAGACACATAACAGACAGTTCATTGAATTTAGGGACCAAGTCTCATTCCAAGTTCTCTTCTTACCCACTTCTAGCCCTGGCTGCCCAAGTTTTCCCTTCTTTGGCTTAAATCCATTTTACCAGGGGTTTCTGTCATAGCCTGATGGAGAATGGTTGTTTACTTCCCTGGCAACCTGGCTTCTAAAAGAACAATTAATTGATTCAGTTAGAAGGAGAAACTACTATAGAAAAGTTTTTAATTCTGGGGGACTAGGGAGATAACTCAGTAAGGTGCTTGTTGCACAGCCTGAGGATCTGAGTTCAGTTTCCCCAGCACCCACATAAAAAGCTGGGTGCTGCAGGATATGGTGCCACATGCCTTTAATCCCAGCACTTGGGAGGCAGAGGCAGATGTATCTCTGTTGAGTTCAAGGCGAGCCTGGTCTCCATAGTGAGTTCCAGGCCAACTGTGGCTACAAGAGAGACCCTGCCTCAAAAAGACCAAAAAAAAAAAAGCTGGGTGCCATAGCACACGCCCATAATCTCAGCACTGGGGAGGCAGAGACAGGAGGATCCCTGGGACTTTCTAGCCAGTCTAGCCCAATTGCTGAGCTCCAGGTTTAGTGAGAGACCTTGTTCACTCAAACCAGCTTAATTTTTCAGTCCAGTTCTTAGAGACGTCACAGGCTGTCCCCACCCCCACTTGCCTTTGCACTCCTGAGAACAGCCTTCTACCTTGGCTCAGTCCTTGTTGGCCCAAGTATGGGCAGCTGGATGTCCTAGTTTGTTTCTTCATTACTATGACTAAACACTGACCACTACCAACTTGGGGAGGAAAGGGTTTGTCTTACGTCTCCCAGGTCACAGTTCATCAGGGAGCCCAAGGTAGGAACTCAGGGCAGAAACCTTGGAGGCAGGAGCTGGAGCACAGGCCACGGAAGACTGCTGCTTTCTGGTTTTCTCCCTTGGCCCCTGCTCAGCTTGCTTTCTTATGCAACACCACCTGCCCAGGGGTGGCACCATCCACAGTGGACTGGACCCTCCCATATCCCTCAGTAATCAAGAAGATGCCCCACAGACATGGCCACAGGCCAGTTCAATGGAAGCAATTCCCAAATTGAGGCTCCCTCAACCCAGGTGTGTTAAGTTGACACTAAAGCTATCCAGCACAGAGCTATAGTCATAAGAGCAGTATGGTCCTGGCACAAAAGTAGACCTTTAGATCAGTGGATCATAACTGAAGATCTAAACATGAGTACATGAAATTTCAGCCATCTGATATTTGACAAAGGGGCCAAGAACATTCACTGGAGGAAAGACAGCATCTTCAGCAAATGGTGCTGGCAAAACTGGATCTCCACCTGTAGAAGAATGAAACTAGACCCTTATCTTTCATCTTGCACAGAAGTCAACTCCAAATGAATCAAAGACCTCAATGTGAACCTGTGACACATCTGACAGAGGTTTAATATCTAGACTATATAAAGAACTCAATAAACAACCAAGAAATCAAGTGACCCAATTAAAAGATGGACTAAGGAGCTAAACAGAGATATCTCAAAAGAAGAAATAAAGATGGCTAAGAAACATCTTTAAAAGTGTTCAACATCATTAGTAATTAAGGAAATGCAAATTAAAATCACTTTAAGATTTCCTCTTACCCCAGTCAGACTGGTTAAGATCAAGAGAATAAATGATACCAAATGCTGGCAAGGATGTGGAGAAGGAAACGCTAATTCACTGCTGATGGGATTGAAAAGTCATGCAACCCCTATGGAAAGCAGTGTGGAGAACTCTTAAAAAAATCTAAAAATGAGGGGCTGGAGAGATGGCTCAGCAGGTAAGAGCACTGACTGCTCTTGCAGAGGACCGGGGTTCAATTCCCAGCACCCACATGGCGGCTACGAACCGTCCTTAACTCCAATTCCAGGGGAATCCGAAGCCCTCTTCTGACCTCAGCATTGCATGACATGGGTGCACTCACATACATGCAGGCAGTGCACTCATACTCATAAAAATAAAATATTTTTTAAAAATCTAAAAATGAGCTGGGTGTGGTGGTGCACACCTTTAGTCCCAGCACTCAGGAGGCAGAGGCAGGCAGATCTCTGTGAGATTGAGGACAGCCTGGTCTCCATAATGAGTTCAGGCCAGCTGGGGCTACAGGGAGACCCTGTCTCAAAAAAGGCCAAAAAAAAAAAAATCTAAAAATGAGCCTATCATTTGACCTGGTTTTACCATTCCTTGGCATATACCCAAAGGACTCATCCTATTGCATTTGTACATGTATTTGTATATCCATGTTTGTTGCTGCTCTTTCCACAATAGCTAAGAGATGGAAGCAAGCTAAATGTCCCTCAACCAGATAGTGTATAATGAAAATGTGGTACATTTACACAATGGAGTTCTACTAAGTGTAAAGATGAAATCATGAAATTTGCAGGTAAATGGATGGATCTAGAGACTGTTATACTAAGTGAAGTAACACATACTCAAAAAAATCAAACAACGTATATTCTGTCTCATATGTGGATCCTAGCACCAAATCCTTATATGTGAGTATGTATCCTGATGTAACTGCAGGAACCAGGATAATGAGAAGGAACCAGGGAGGCAAAGGGAAAGAAGGAACCCAAGAGAGAAGAATAGTAGGAGATAGGTGTCACTAAGGGAGAAATGGATAAAATGGGGTATTTAAATGGGAGGGGGAAGGGAAGGAACTTTGGAGATAAAGGGAAAGAAGGAACTCGAGAGGTAGGACCATAGGAGACTGGTATTATCAAGGGAGAAGTGGGGGAAAAGGGGACACTTTAAATGGGGAAGTCATGGTGCAAGGGTTAGACAGGGAGAGAGAGAGGAGAGAGAATGCCTAGCTAGTGTAAAGAAACCAGAAGAAATCATATTAGTCCAACAACCTCATGACAAATAACACATACAATCTCTCTAAATGAGTCCATGTATAAAAAACAGTGCCAGACAGGAGAAACCAACCTTTGACTTGTTGGCCAGGGTGGTCCAAGAGACTCCCAGAATTACACAGCCCAGAAGTTGAAGGTAAGACCCTACTGCTGAAGACAGAACATTCTTCTGACACAGGATTTGGAGCAATGGAGCTGGAACTGACCTGGAAGCCACTTCCTCTGAAGGCTAGCTATCGTAGCTTTGGAAATACTATGCATGGTGCTAAGGGAGAACATCAATTGATGGTCCAACTCCAGCTTCAAGACCAAATACCCACATCATGACTTGCACAGCATATGACATTGGTGTAGTTGTGGCACTTTTATCTTGGGCATAATTAACAGCTACCTAATTGGACTAAAAATCCACTCAATGGGAGGAAATTCATGTGTGGTAGTGTAAACACAGTCAAATACACATGGCTGGAGAGGCCATGGATGGAGAGATCTTAAGAGAAAACCTCAAAACTGTCACATCTCTAGACTAATGTAATTTCTTACTATGTGCAAAATATGTATCCTTATTGGGCATAGTGGTGCATGCCTTTAATCCCAGCACTTGGGAGGCAGAGGCAGGCAGATCTTTGTGAGGTCAAGGAAATCCTGGTCTACATAGCAAGTTCCAGACCAGCTGGGTCTACAAGGAGACCCTGTCTCAAAAAGACAAAAAAAAAAAAGTATCCTTATATTTACGGACAAATATCCCAGTCACCACTCATCAAAGGAGCTTCTTTTGCACCAGAGACTATTAGAGAGTACCACAACTGGTCACACACAGACATTGTCTGTTAATTGCTCAAGTCTAAGTGGCATATCTACAATGCAGCCTCTACACCTAACGCTCAAGGAGCATAGAACAAGGGATAAAGAAGACAACAATGAATATCTCAGTTCTCAATAATGAAGCTCCCTCATGCAACAGAGGATCAGGAACATAAAAGGTCACAAATGGCCAAAGTGTAGAGACTAAGAGTCTGCAGAATGCTGGTCCTTGGACAGGACTCCTATATTAATCTATACCCACCCAGGGCTCAAGGACCATTGAGGAAGAAGTGGCGGAAAGATAGTAAGAGTCAGGGAGGAGGTGCATGACCATACAGAAACAGAGTCCTACAAGCTCCTGGGACACTGCTCATATGAACCTACAGCAATGATGTCAGCATGCACAGGACCCATGCAAACTCAAACAGACAAAAGCCCATCATAGAACTCGGGAAATGGACAACAGACCTCAATTTTAGTTGAAGAAATACTGGCAGAGCTGATCTTCCTAAAGCAAGAGACTCTAGATAGGCTGACTAGACCTCCGTAGATGAACTCACACTGAGGGATGTCTGGGGACACTAGACACAATAGGCCTTAAGACAAATAACAGAATGTATGAATTCCAGTGGGGGGGCTATGGGAGGGTAAAGGGCTATAAAGATGATTGAGATGTCCTGTATGAAATACACAAAAATTCAATAAAAATATACAAAAGAAAACAATCATTTTATGGGCAGATGAAAAAAATACTAAGGTGGAGAAGCTGGCCATGGTGATGCACAACTTTAGTCCCAGCACTCAGGAGGCAGAGGCAGGCAGATCTCTGTAAGATCAAGGCCAGCCTGGTATATGTAGTGCCAGGCCAGCTGGGGCTATGGGGTGACCATGTCTCAAAAAGACCAAAAAATAAAATAGGGTAGAGCGTGACAGCAGATGCCTGATGTTGATATGTGGCCTCCCACATGGTCCATGCATGTGCAGGTGCACACAAAGATGTAACACCAGGCCTTTCAGAAAGTCAGCAGAGCCAGCTATGCTGGGATCACACCCGTCAGCTCAGACAACAGAGAGCCTGACACAGCCTCTCCTCTTGAGTCTTCAGAGATGGCCATCTTCCATGTTATGGGTAGAGAAAGCAAGATCCACAAATATTGAGTTGTCCCAAACTGCTCAGCTTAACACTGCTGTCACCAGTTTCACCCCACCTCAGAATGTACTCTTTAGTAGTAGATTCTGGGTCCTAGAGAAGCACAAGGAAATAGAACCTCCTGGAGGAACAAAACAAGTCAGAGCCAGTTCTGGAGCCAGTCATGTCTTTATTAGCATCTGCAGCTGAGCCAATGGAGCCTTCATCTACAGGGGAAATTTAGTGGGCTACAACTACACTTAGCATCTCTATTGGCAACTGGGACAGGATGGTGGAAGATTCTGGAAGGGGATCAAATCCACCTACAGCCAGGCACATGAGGGGCTCCCCAGGGCGGTACAAAGGTGGGTCATGCCCCAGAAGGAAACAGTGCCATCTCCCCCAGAATAATAGAGGAGACAAAGCCTCAGATGGTGACAGTCACAGCAACTGACAGCTGAGCTCCTGGGGTCAGAAAAGCATGCCCACTGGAGGCAACTTCCTAAGGCTGGAGGTCCCAAACAGCTCACCTGTGCCCCAACCAGGAGCCCCCAGGTTCAGCTTAATTGTCATAGGGAAGCTAGTAGTGGGAAGGATGATGCTAAACTCAAGAATATTTAGGGTAAAGGTATGTGTCAGTACTAACAAAACAGGCAAAAATAAAAATGCATTATAGTTGCAATTAGGAAACTTTCCTCCATAAAAAGTGCCCATCTCTCCTTTACCCTGGAGGTCCACCACGATCCAAACACACCCCTGCACCACCCTGCTGAGCCTCCACCCCAACCCAACTGTACTTTCCTGTGATTCTTTGGACATGTCAAGATGTTCACAGCTCCATGTGCTTGCTGCCAACAGCTCCCAGCCTACCTGCCTTTGTGCTCTTTGTGTCCTTGTCAAAGGACTGTTAAGTCTACAGCTTTGTCTTTGTTCATTGGTTTCCCTAGTCCTGGAGTATCCTCAGGAGAAGGCCAAAAACAATAATCATTGTGATCTTCAGTGCCTTGGAGCAATTAAAGCCAATGAAGTCATATTTGCTGTATCTGGAGAAAACATATTCACAGGTGATTTCTTGGGGTATCCGACAATAGTGTGAGGATCTCCGGCCATGTTTGATAGATGTGCCTGAGATGATAACTTCCTCTGAGGAGAGAGGGGAGGCTAAGGAGTGGGAGCAATAGTCCAAGCTCAGAGGGGTTAATGGAGAGAAAAGAGCCAAAATGGGATGGGGTTTAGATGTTGGGTAACGGAGGGTGATCCAGGAGGAACTGAGATCTAGCATTCTACGTGCACATCCGGCACTCTGAGGCCCAGGGCTCAGAACCAGCAAGGCGACCACATGAGTGAACCAAGTGCAGCGCCGGTAGCAGCCCCAGCGAGCATGCCCATGGCCAGCGGGGCGCCGGCGCTGTAGCAGGGATCCTCTCGCACTATCACGTGTGTCACGCCTGGGCCTGCAGGAAGAGCCACAAGGGTCAAGGGTCAGGGGCCTCCAGGGTGATTCCAACCCAACCCCATGTTAGGCAGGAGCTTATTCACCTGTTCTCCAGTCAGGGAAACGGAGACCTTGGGAGGTGAAGGCTCCACCCCATGGCCTCTATGCCCTGCAGTTGCCACTGAAGTTTAGTGACCGTGAGTGAGTCTAGGAGTGCACTGACTGCAGTTTTCCCAAGGATCTCTAAGCATCACGGCACACATCACCGGGACTGTAGGAAGGAGAGTGCCATTCCTGCGGTAGCCACCAGGGGTCGCTAATAGCTCAGGAATGGCATTTCTGGGCGCTCTGGCTTACTGTGGGGGTGGATCTAGGGAGGTCTGCACTGGAGAAGGGCGGGCTATTTTGAGTTTCTTCAGAGGGTCCTGCTCGTGGGTTTTAGAAAATCTGTGTATTCACTAAAAAGGGCGAAGCTAGTCTTTATTGATAGGCCATGGGCAGGGCCTGGCACAGGATCACGGCAGGCCGAGGTATATGTGTGCAAGGGGCTTACCTGCATAGGGCGGCCCATAGTAGCTGCGGACATATGTGGCCTCGTGTGCGTTGGGAGGCACCACCTCATAGTAGTCCTGATATGGGCTGTAGACGCGTACCTGGGGAGTCCAGTCAAGTCAGCTGCCCAGAAATTTCCTGGTCTGGGTTTAGTCCTGACCCCTCATTCCCCTTTGGTAGACCACCCCACTACCACCACCACCACCACCCCAAGCCAACAGGGAGCTGCCTCCCTGTCCATAATCCTCCTCCCCTGAAACTTCAGTCCTTATATCCAGTCCTTTCCCCTCCCCTGGTCTCCTACCTTGCTCACCAAATTTTCCATGGCTCCCAACTTCTCTTTATAGGTAGACTAATATTTGCTTACAATTCTACAATGCTCTCACTTGGAGAAACCCAACTGATTGCTCTCCTAGTCACAGGAGGGGAATGTGGCCAGGGCCCAGACAAGAAATACACAAGGACTAGGGACAAAGAAAAGAAAGGGTAGGAAGTAACTGAAATCACTATCATCTAGCATCTACTGGTAGCAGGCCCAAGGGAGGAGCACTTGTATGTTTCCCCCTCTAATCCTAGGGCAGGCATTGCTATCACCACAGTAGCCCAGAGCTGAGGACTGAGGCTTAGAGAAGCTGAGTGTCCTGTTCACTCCCTCATTAGGTTTCTACCAACCTCTCAAAGCTAGTTCAAAAGTCACCTACACCAGGAAGCCCTCCTGGACTCAGAATCTTTTTTCTGGGTTCTCTGTGGACGTGGATAATACTTTTCCTTATTCTTTTTCTTAGCCTTTCCTCCCTGCACCCCAAATGTAAGCTACTTATGGGCAAGAGAGTCATTAACTTGTGTCACCAGCAGGGGTGGCGCATGGCAGGAGCCAATAAATATGTACATGATTAAGGGAAGCCACCCATCCATACCTGTCATTTACTCATGGGGAAGCAGACATGGAAGCTGTCAGGATCCCCTTTTCTTCTGGATCCCTTCCCCTTAGCCCCCTTTCTCTCTGCATCTTTCTGTAGGGTTTCACACCTGGACAGCCCAACTATCTTTAGAAGTCTAGGTGTGTCGGACTCCAGTAACTCAAAGCGACTTTGCGATCTCTCCATCTTACAGGTCTGTTCATCCTGGAAATTTTTTCCATAGAAACTCCAGCACCATGCACACAGGCCAAGAAATTAATTGGGCATGTTTATATTTGGCTCCCTCCCTTTCTGTGTGTGATGTAGAGGTCAAAGATTGATGTCTAATATTTTCCTCACTTGTTCTCCACTTTATTTTGGGGGACAAGGTTTCTCAGTGATCCTAGAGCTTGCTGATTAGCCAGCAAGCCCCTGGTGTCCTCCTACTTCTGTTTCCCAAGCACTGAGCTTACAGGTGAGCACTGCCGGTGGGTACTGGGGACCAAACTCAAGTCCTCATGCATGCATGGCAAGCACTTTACTGACTGAGCCATCTCCAAGTCCTTTTTGTTTGTTTCTTTGTGAAAGGGTCTCAAGCAGCCTAGGTTGGCCTTGAACTCATTATGTAGATGAAGCTGATCTGAACTGAGCTTCCTGACTCCACTTTTCTAAGTCCTAGAATTACAGCAATGTACCACCAAGTCTGGCTCTGGCACCTTTTCTTTTGGGGGAAGAATGTTGAGATAGGGTTTCACTCTTTAGTCCAGGTTAACCTTAAGTTCACAATCCTCCTGCCTCAGTTCCTGAGAGACTTAAAGGCATGTACTGCCAGGCCCAATATTTTCTTTCTTGTGGTGCTAGGGATCAAACCCAGAGCCTTGTGCAGGCTTGGCAGGCACTGTATCATTGAGATACATCTCCAGCTTTTGGTGCTCTTGTCTTTAAACATTTGCTTTTTACAAGGTCACCGGGTCTCATGGTTTTTTCTAAATATGTTCCTCTGACCACTCTATTGGCCAATGTCAAGAGAGTAGACATTAGCTTTAACAACTTGTAAACTATGAGTGATTATGACAGAGAATACAGTTTTCAATGGACTGGCTGGGGAGAAGAAGCCAGTTTAGAGATGACTAAAGAACAGCTGAGCACCGAGGGAAGGACCAACATATCAGCATACCATGTTTCTGTTTGTTTGTTAGCCCTGGGGATTGAATCCAGGGCCACATACATCCTAGACAACCACTCTACCACTAGGCTACATCCCCAGTCCTCTTTTTATTTTGAGATAGGGTGTCACTAAGTTACGTAGGCAGGCTTTGAGCTAGCAATCTTCTGCCTCCCAAGTATCTAAGATTACAGGCCTGTACCACCAAACTTGCCTGAGACATTTCTTTCAAGAAGTCTAACTGTAGCTGGGTGTGGTGGCACACACCTTTAATCCCAGCATTCAGGAGGCAGAGACAGGCAGATCTCTGTGAGGCTAGCCTGATCTACATAGCAAGTTCCAGGGCAGCTACGGCTACAGGGAGACCCTGTCTCAAAGACAAAAGAAGAAGCCATCCAGCTGTAAAGGCAGACGTGATGGCACATGCCTCTAATCCATGTAGGAAGATTCTGAATTTGAGGCCAGCCTAGACTACACAGCAAAACCCTGTCTCAAAAACAATGAACAAACAAGCAAAAGAACAGTCTGGCTGGCTGTACAGGGAAGTTCTCCAAGCACAACATGTGATTTCCAGTGTCCATGCTTCTTCACCTTTAATTACCTAGTTTGTCTTTCTGCTCAACCCAGGTATTGCTGTCCTTGAACCTCAGGTTCTCTTAGGTTTCCAGCTGCATATACACAGCCCTTGGACTTCCCTCCTTCACAGTACTAACCAATGACAATCCATTGTTTTTGTCCCTGTGAGTGTTTGTGTCTTCCAACAGACTTGGAGACCACCAAAGAGGCTGGTCACATCTCAGTGGATGTGGCAAGTGCCTAGCAAATGTTCATTGCATTTATCTCAAATTAATCAAATGCAGGGCCAACCAGATGAGGATCACCCTTAGTTAGACCCAAGTCTGAGTTGAACTTCACCTTAGGGAGAACGAACAGTCTTGGGGCAATATGGGAAGCTATGACAAGCAACACTGTAGGTCTCCACTCAAATAACTCTACTTGTATTCTTTTCTCAGGGTGATTCAATAAGGCTGTCTGGTTGGGGTGTCCAGGATATGGGTTTCATGCCTAGAAGGAGCTAGAGAGATTTAGGCACTGAAATCTAATTTTACTGTTTGGGAAGCTTAAGTCCAAAGCCTCTGCTTGCCTGGTAGCAGCAGAGAGCTGGTAGCTTTGTGAGACCTTGGAGTAGGTGGAAAATACCACCTCATCTCTCTCTGGGGCATCCGTTCCTACCTTCCAGGTCTGGGAGGCCCAGAAGTAAACTCAGAGCACCTGGCAACAGGAAGGTCACCCCAGAGAACTCATGGACTGGAACCAAATGGCTTGAGCTCTGATTCTCTCCTTCTCCCAAGGTTCAGCCCCTTCAGTGGATGGGGACAGTGCTGGCCAAAAGGGAGTTGCATGCACATTCCTTGGGATAATGGCCTGCAGTTCCTAGGCCTGTCAGTGGAAACTGACTGATGCTGACCAAGTCACTTAACCTCTCAGAGCTTCAATTTCCTCATCAATACTGTGAGAACTGAGCAAAACTATATCTATTGACCCAAGTACTGCTGAGTTCTGTTGTGCGTGTCACAATTACCAGATGCTTTCCTCCCAACCCCACCCCACCCCTAGTGCCAGAGATCAACCCAGGGCCTCAAACATGCTAGGCATGCATGTACTCTACCACTAAGGCACAGCCCCAACCTCAGAAGTGATTTTATTTTTTTTAATCTGCACATTTCCAGGCTAAGGATATAGTTGGGTGTTAAAGTAGTCCTTTAATGTGAGTCCTTGGGTTCAATCCCCAACATCATTCTCATATAGATGTGTGTGTGTATATACATATATATGATTCATACCATATATATATATATATATATTACAGATTTCCTAGGCTCTACCCCTAGGTGTAGGAAATTAGGGCATGCAAAAGACATTAACATTTGTTGTTGCCATTTAAATTGCTAAGCAATTCTAAAACATAGCATCAATGAGCAAGAAAAGAGTTTGCAGCTGACCGTAAGACCACAGATACTTTAACTCAAGCTCCTGCTTCCACTCACACAAAGCCAGGTCCTGTGCTGAGCACTGAGGACAGAGAAAGAGTTCAGACCCCAACCCTGAGCGGTGGTTATTAACCATTGTCAGCTTGATTGGATTTGGAATCACACTCCTCTGGGCATGTCTGTGGGGTGTATCCAGAGGTTTAGCAGAGTAGAGAAGACCCACCCTGAATGGTGGTAGCACCAGCCTATGGATGGGGGTTCTGGACTAAAAGAAAGGGGGAAAGGAGACAGCCAGCTGGACACAGGCGTTCCGATTTCTCTCCCCAGATGTGAGCAAGAAGCCTCATGCTCCTGCTGACATGCCTCCCCTCCCCATGATGGACTGTACCCTCAAACTGTGAACCAACATAAATCCTTCCCTTAAGTTGCTTCTTTCTGGGTATTTGGTCATAGCAATAAAAAGAAAAAAAGTAACTAATAAACTCTAGTTTTGAGAAAAATCCAGGGCTAAGACAGAACTGAACAAAATTACACTATATAGTGGTAATGCCATACAGAGGTTGCTCACACCTCCCTCCTCCCTTCCTTTCTTCCCTCACTCATTCAGTGACTTGTTTGTACCAGTCCCTCATGTCCTAGCAATGAAGAAGGTCAGAACAGACTTTCCCCATCACTAAGGATTGATTAAACACCTGCTGTATACCCAGCCCTATGCCAGGCTCTGTAGGGGCAGAGCATATCAGCCCTGGCCCTTGCCTTGGAGGAAGTTCAGGTCTCAGAAGGAGTAGGCAGACAGGAACTAATTAGCTCTTAGGCCATCAGAATGAAGCCAGTGCTAAGAACAAGTGACAGTGGACTATGATGGGAGTGACAGTGCCTGAAGCTCTGGGCAGTCCTTGCTGAGGAGGTGGCAGCCTTTGCAGAGGTTCTCTGAGGAAGAGCATCCATTTGTCAGGTGAACAAGGAAGCCAAAGGTTTGGGTGGCAGAGAGGAAACTGACAGCAGGAAAAGGAGAAAACTGAGGAAGCAGGAGCAGAGGGTACAGCTGAGCAGCAGGGTACAGATTCGAGGAGATGTGATAGGCAAGACTGGCCAGATTCCACAGATCTCAAAAGCCTGCTGTGGTTGGTGTCCAGGGAGGAAAGGGAGCCATGGATGTCTGTGAACAGGGAAGGAATACGATGGCTGGCTTTGGAGGCTCATCCTGGTGGCCAGAATGGAGGCAGGGAGAGCTGAGCTCACACTTACCCAGATCTGCCTCTCAACCTTACAGGGATTCCATGAGAGGGTCGCACACCTGACCTTAGGGCAAACCCAGCGGCGGCTCCTGGGTGGGACGGTGGCTCCAGCTGGGGCCTGCTCAAGCCATAGAAACCCAAGAAGGGGGAGGGAGGGAGGAGTCAGAGGCCCTTTGCACCTAGAGAGACTGGGAGAAGTTACCAGGCCATACCAGAGCCCTCTGCCAGCTGTGTGTATGTTGGCGGGAGAGTGGGAGAGCAGAGAGGGGTGGCAAATGTCAGACCACCCAATGAAGAAGAGCCAGTGCCTCCTTCTAGCCCACCCTCCTGTTTCATGCCCTGGGGCTTCCAGTCTCTCTTTACCACCCACAACTCCAGCCTCATCCCTGAATTTATTCCCAGGAGCCCCCACCCAGAATGGTGCCTGTGGGGGAGACAAAGAACAGGTCCCTCCTACATAGGTTCAGGGCCAGAGAAGCCCAGAGACACAGATGTGAACACACAGGCAGCCAGACACAAGAACAACAAACACAAACACCTGCTCTAGTAAGACAGGGCCCTGAGGGATGTGTGTCTGGGAAGCAGAGAGAGGAGGTATAGAAGGTCAGGCAGAGGCAAGAGGTCAGTAGAGCAGGCAGGTGGATAAGCGGAGAGGGCTCAAGGCAGCTTCATAGAGTCACAGAGTGCAGAATGGTTAGCCCCACCTCCTTCCTGCTGTCTTATACCACTGACTGACCTTGAGGGGGTTTGGGGCCTCAGAGCATTAGCTTGACCTGGGTCCCTCCCCATGATGATCCCTGTTCCTCCTCTCTCCTAGCTTTCTGTGAACACACACACACACACACACACACACACACACACACACGCGCGCGCACACGCGCGCGCATGAACACACACTTTCCTGCCTTGGCTCATACAGCTCCTACTACCAATTCCAGTCTCCTCACTAAATCTACTAACCAAGCCTCCAATGAAGTCCCCTCCATTGACTTAAGATTGTTGATTGTGGATAAGCTACCTCCCCTCAACTTCCCCATCTCTAAAATGGAACTAACAACAATCCCCAATCCTCTCCTGCCAGGACTGTTGGTAGATGAAATGACATAACCATGTCAGGTACTCAACACAGTGCCCTGGTCCTCCGCAGGTAAATACCCAAGAGAGTTTCTAACTGCACCCCAGCCTCCTCTGCTACTTCCCAGTGGACTCTTCCAAGATGAGAGGAGGCTCTGCTGTGCCACTGGCAGAAGGAACAAGCGTGTATTCTGGAGTCTGGCAGGTGGTGGCCCATATTGGGCCTCAGGCAGCTCTTCAAACCCAGACCTCCACCAGTCACTAAGCACTCTTACCTGCATTTCCTAACTGTCCCATATTCCTCAGCCTGTCTGCCAGCAAGGCCTGCAGCCTGTTGCCTGGAGATCGGCCCTGCCTTGTAACTGATACCTGGGTGTCTACTCCACCTACCAGCGAGACTGCCTTTTTGTTTGTTTGTTGTTTCTGAGACAGGGTTTTACTATGTGGCCTAAGCTGGCCTCAAGCTTATAATCATCCTGTCAGCCTCACAAGTGCTGGAATTACAGGCACAGGCTAGCACACCTAACTTTAGACTGTCTTGAAAATACAAATCTGGAGCTGGGGAGGTAGCTCAGTTGGTAAAGCACTTGTCTTGAAAGCATGAGAACTCGAGTTTGAGCCCTAAGAATCCATGTAAAAGCCAGGCATGTGGCAGGTGCCTTTACGGTGCCTCCCAGGGCTGGGAAGGTAGAGACAGGGGCCCTAGGGCTTGTCAGCCAGCTAGCCTAGCCAAATTGGTGAGTCCCAGGTCTCAGTGAAAGACCATCTCAGAAAATAAGGTGGATTGGTATGAAAGGAGCACCATCCAAGGTTGACCTCTGGCTTCCATACACCTGTGCATATGCATGCATGCATGCATGCACACATACACAAATTAATTAATTTTAAAAAATTTACCCAGCACCTGGGAGGCAGAGGCAGGCATATCTCTGTGACTTCAAGTCCAGCCTGGTCTACATAGTGAGTTCTAGGACAGCTGGGGCTACAGGGAGACCCTGTCTCAAAAAGACCAAAAAAAAATTTTTTTTTTAATTAATTAAAAATACATATGTGATCTGTTTCAGCCTTTTGCTTAAAAACTTTCAAACGGCTTACTAATGCTCTTAGGAGAAATCAGTGTCCTTAGAGCCAGGCATGATGGCTCATGCCTATAATCCCAGCACTCTGAAGGCTGAGGCAGGAGGATTGCTGAAAGTTCAAGACCGGTTCGGGCTACGTAATGGGTTCAAGGTCAGCCTGGGCTTCATAGTGAGACTCAAAGAAAGAAATCAACATCCTTAACACAGTCCACAGGCTTGACCCTTCCAGCTCTCTTACCTCATTGCCCCCTCTGTCCCTGAGTTCCAGATGCCCCAACATCTTAACCCCTCAAGACTTTTGCACATGCTGATCCTTCCTGCCTGGAAAGCTGCTCCCTTTACCATATCCCCACCGTTCACCTAATTCATGTTTATCTTTCAGATCTCAGCTTAAGCCTCAAGCAAACACACCTGGGCCAGGCCACCAACAGGGTCTCCCACTGCATGCCTCTGCTAGAGCAATTACTGCTATTGAAATGGAATAATTAACTAAATAATTAGTTGTTTCATATCTGGCTCCTTCTAAGCTGAGTGCTGGAGGGCAGAGCCTACATCCCTGGCCCCTGGAACATGATGCCTGGCACACAGCAGGAACCCAATAACTATCTGCTGTGTGGGTGAATGAACCTCTCAGTCTTACCATCTGCAGAGAGGGAGCATTAATAATCTCACCCTCGTGAGACTGTTCTAAGGAGTGACCTGAGTGTCACCTGCATCATGCCTGACACCTAAGTTCCTTTCCTCTAGCTCCATGCCAACCCCTCTGAGTTATTATGGAGGCTTCTCTCCCCTTCTCCTGGGAGCACATGCTAACTCCTCTACCTCTTCTCTATGGGCCAGGACTCCCAGGCTGAGTGTGTAGAAGCTGTTCCACACTAGACTGAACTGGCAGGTGGAGACCAAGTCTGAGTCACCCATGATTCCACGGCAGATGGGGCAGAAAGGAGGGGTAGAGAGGAGGGGCTCACCGGGGTGGAGTTTGCCTCCATCAGTGCTGTCTTCCATGCTCTGTAAAACAAGACCCACCAGATCATGAGGAGGGATTTGGGGTGTGGAGGTAGGTAGGGGCACTGTGCTCCCACCTTGTAGATGCTAGTCTCCAATTCAGACGTTAACCCCTGTTCTCCCAACTCTCAGGTAGATAAAAGCAACCGCTCCACTGCTCCAGTCACAAGGATGGACCCTGAGTTAGGCAAATAACTCTTAGTCTAGGGGCTGGAGAGGTAGGTGCTCAGTAGTTAAGAGCACTGGCTACTCTCACAGAGGACCTGTGTTAGGTTCCCAGAACCCACATGGTGACTAACAACCATCCCTAATTCCAGTTCTAATAGATCCAACACCTCTTCTGGCCTCCACAGGTATTGCATCCACATGGTACACTTACATGCAGGGAAATTACTCACATAAAATAGAAATTAATTAATTAAATAAATAAAATAAAGCCCTCTTAGCCTCATTCCCTCAGTAGTCTCAGTTTCCCCATCTTTACAGCAAACAGTTGGGGTGTTTTTTGAGGGGAGACTCCTAGGAACTTTTTGAATCTTGCATGCCTGGGTGGTGCTCTGCCTGTAGCCCACCTCCATGTTCCAATAAGCACAGCTTCCCAAAGGGCTGACCTTAGAGCCATGAGAATGCCTAGTAGACATGGGACAATTGGGCTTTGTTGGTTGCCATGGCACCTGGCTGGGTGGACAAGGCAGCTCTGTGCTCTCTGCCCAAAGCTCAGCTTCCCTTACGCCCACACACCCATCTCTCCTTCTCCACCAGGGCAAAGGCCAAACCACTTAGGCCAAGGGTAGGAGGGGAAAGAATGTGAAGGAGCAATTGGCACTGAGGATACCCCCAGCCTCCCATGATTACATCTGATATTGGGGTGCCTCTGCTTGGGACACTGCCAGTTCCTTATACAGGCAGGTCTAGGTCTACCCCATAGCTCAGAGTCCCCCCACCAGTGCATCTCTCAGAATGAGGTCTTTTGAGATGCCACTGGGCATGTCTGCTCCTTTCTATCAGCCCAGGTGAGGGAGTACCTCACAGGTTGCTGAATATCTGGTTCCAAATATGCAGGGATGCAGCACCTGAGGCGTGTATGGACTGGAGCAATCTGTGTATACACCATCAGGAATCATTCAGATCCCCTCCACCCATCGTGCATGACACAACCTTGCTAACATCTTAGTCCCCTCTTCTTAGGCTCAGTGAAGCAACATCTGATTATACCCCCCCAACACACACACACACACACACACACACACACACACAATCCCATCCCACCCTCTTCCCGCAGCCACTCACACAGCATCGTCTCTGGTCTCAGCACACAGGTGCAGACGGGAGCCCTCCCGCAGGTTCACAGTCAGCAGTCCATCCCGGCTCCTGCCCTCTGGGGGCTGCACATCTGGAAGCAGACAACATACATGGAGTTTCCAGGGGTGGAGATCCTAGGTCCTTTCAGTAAACCAGATACAATGATAATGGCTGATGTCTCTGGGTGCCGTTTACTGGCCATTGCTAGCCTCTGATCCCATGTACTTTCTTGGGAGTCTGCTGTACCCTTCAAACCCTGTCTACATTTTGACAATACTGGCTTCCTAGGCCCATCTCTCAGTTACTGTATTATGTTGTGGCCTCGGTCTTGGTTGAAGAATTAGATTTGCTATGTGGCTCTAGGTCAGATGCTATGCTTCCCTGAGCCTCCTTGTTTCATTTCATCTTCATCCAACCCTTAATGCCTAAAGATCAGGCACTTTCTCTGAACTCACCCCTTGGACACAGCACAGGGTAGGAATTTGACGAAGGAGTAGTTTTTTTTTTTAATATTTATTTTTATTTTATGTGTATGAGTGTTTTGCCTGTATGTACATAAATGTATTCGTGTGTGTAATGCTCGTGGAGGGCAGAAGAGGGCATCAGATTCCTCACTACAGACAGTTGTTAACTGCCATGTAAGTGCTGGGAACTGAACCCTGATCTTCTGCTCCTAACCACTGAGCCATCTCTCCAACCTCAGAACCAGTTTCTTAATTCATTACTAACTGACCTACAGTTGGCAAAGGTCCAGAAGCAGTGCCTGTGGAAGTTCTCTGGTTGCTGCCAAGAGCCATCCAATTGCAGGTGTTCTTAGACAGGGGGAGAGTCCTGATCATGGACAGGGTGTCATCAAAGAAGCACTTCTGCTTACCTTGACACTCTTGGCCGACCTTTATGTCTCGGACATTGAAATGGATGAGCACGCGGTCCTCCTCATCCTGTGCTGTCTCATCGCGGTAGTAACCCAGCGTCCCATCCATCCACAGAGCAAACCAATTCCGCTTCCAGCGGCGGAGGATGGAGCCTGTAAGATTTTCCAAACCCACCAGGTGGACTGAACCCTGAGCCTGTTGGGGGCAAGAGCCCCAGATGGGCTCCCAGAATCCCCTCAGCCTGGGCCCCTAATACTATAGCTTCCTCCTTGTCTATCTACCATCTAAAATGAGGGCAAAGCCTCTTTCTGTCTTGCTCATCCCTGCCTGCCACTGGCCTGACAAATAGTAGAGGCTCAGCCTGGCGTGGTGGCTGCACGCATTTAATCCCAGCACTCGGGAGGCAGAGGCAGGCAGATCTCTGTGAGTTCAAGGCCAGCCTGGTCCACATAGTGAGTTCCAGGACAGCTGGGGCTACAGGGAGACCCTGTCTCAAAAAGACCAAAAAAAAAAAGAAAAAAAAAATAGTAGAGGCTCAAGAAATGTGTTGAGCTGTGTGAATGAGCAACCATATCCACTGTATGGGAGCACCCAAGACAAGCCCAAGGTCTCCTCAAGGGCAAGTATTTCCTACCCTGAGCCTCCATCTTGTCTCTTATCTCTGGCTTGTCACAGAGAGGACACAGTCACTTGTGTCCTCTCTGCCTTCTCCACCAGACTGAGGATCTGCATCTCACCACAAATGTCCTAACACCCAGCAGCACCCATGTTCAGTGTTTGCAGATCCAAATGAACTGAGAATGGACAGGGTCTATGGGGGCTCCTGGCCCAAGGGTCTCTAGGATGCCTCTTGTTCAGGTCACAGCTCTGGCCATGGTGGGGGGAGGTGTCTGGGAATCACTTTGGCTCTAGAAAACTTTTTTTTTTTTTTTGTCTTTTTGAGACAGGGTCTTCCTGTAGTCCTACCTGGCCTGGAACTCATTATGTAGACCATGCTGGCCTCCAACTCAGAGATAGGCCTGCCTCTGCCTCCCCAGTGCTGTGATTAAAGGCGTGCACCACCACGCCCCACACAGCTCTAGACATCTTATAACTGAAATGACATCAGGAAGGTAAAAGCTTAAGAGGGCTTCTTAGCTAAAGGTGGCAGCTCCCACTTGTAAATCAGCACTCCAGAGGCTAAGGCAGGAGGACTACAGGGGGTTCAAAACCAGTACGAACTACAGAGAAAGAGCCTGTCTCAAAAGCAAACCAAAATAAAACAGACAAAAACAAAAACAAAAAAACCATCAACCTAGGCATGGTGGTACATGCTTGTAAACCTGGCACTCAGGTGGGTAGAGGGAGGAGCTCAAGGTCACTCTCAGCTACATAGTGAGTTTTCAGCCAAACAGGATTACATGGGGAAAAGATGGGCACTGTGGACACATAGTGCATCAAATCTAGTTGGTTGCCTGGAGGAATGCACAGTCTAGGGCCAGAGGGGGGAGGGGAGGAGTTGGGAGTTGGACAAAGACAGTTGCATTATGTCACTGTGGTAATTGAGGAAGGAGCCTCTGACCCAGCTTAGTGCTGCAGTGGCAGAGTTGTTTAGAGGAACAGTTGCTGAGGGCTCATCAAAGAAGGGGAGCTCTGGTTGGGTCTTAAAGCATACATGGTTTGCCAATAGTCCAAAATGGGCCAGGTGTTTGTCAGACAAAGGGGAGAGTTCAGGTAAGGAGAGGTAGAAGGTCCTGCTTTCTGGGGAAGGGTTCACTGTGACATGCAGAACACACCGCTTCCCTTCCCTCCCTGCTGCCCCAGATCAGGTGGAGGACACACAGGCTTGGCCCAGCATCACTCACTCTGTCTCCACAGCCAGCCGCCCCTCACCAGGGCCATTTCTTCAAAAGGACTTTCCAGGGTGGAGTCTGGTGGGACCTGTCAGAGGAGACAGGACACACAGGCCTCAGGATTTCAGAGCAGCTCCCAGGAGAGAAGCCCCCACCCCTGTCCTCCCTAGTGAGCCATGAACCATCCTAGGCAGGTGTTAGAAAACAAACACAGGCCAGGCACTCTCCATCTCCCCCTCTACCGCCAGACTGCTTCAGAAGAGAATAGGCATACTGTCCCAGTGGGGTCAGCAGACAGGGACAGGGTGGGGGTTGGGATCAGCAGCGCAGTTCTAGACTCAGTTCCAGAATCTAGGCAAGTCCCTGCCTCTTGCTCCTCCAGCCTGGTGCCTTTCTGGATCCTGAACTAAGAGCACCTAGAAGAAGCTGGGGGGAGGAATTCTTAAAGCTCTTAAAATGTGAGAAGATGGGATTTGGAAATGAATATCAGAGTCAGGGTTAAACCACTTCGTGATAGGAAAAGCCTCCCTCACATTTGGGCTCCACAGGGGACATTTTTTAAACACATAAAATAACAGTAGCTCTCCCGGGGGAGCACTGCTCGGTATACGTCACTTCTTTCACCCACCCATCGTCTCACTTCGGCCTGCCAACCGAATCCTTGTCAACATTCCCATTTTAGAGTTGGAGAAACTGGGACCTGGAGAGGTCCAGTCACCTACACAGATCCTCGATTGCTAAGCCCTGGAACCAGGATCCACACTCAGTAGTCCCAGGTGCTTTAAAAATACACAACGTCCAGGTCAAGCCTGATAAGAATCGCAACTGTGGAGGTGAGAGGCAAGCAGTCTTTAAAGGCCCCAGGTGGCTCCAATATGCAGCAAACCATGCTAATTCACTTTGTCCCCACAACAACCCTTGTTAGGTGGCGATCTTACACCTATTTTACAGGTGGTTGAACTGACAGGGGCAGCAAACGACGCATCCCTGCATGTGATGGAGCTTGGATTGGCATCCTGGTGCCTTCTGGTCCTGAGGACCACTTATTTACGAATAGGTGTGTCTGCCCCTCCCCCACCTGCTCACACCTGTTGCTGCATAACAAGGGCTGGTACACCTAGAGTGGACACCTTGCCCTCCTGTGTTTCTCCAGCTCCTTCCCCTCCCCAGGCTGTGACACAGAGCAGGCTAGAAGGCCAGGTGCAAACTCCCACTCAGGTTCCCCTTGTACCCACCTGTCCACACCTGTTGCTGATACTGCTACCACAACAGCCACTACCCGATGAAGCTGCTACCCAACCTGCCGCGCCTGCGCTTTGTGCACTCGGGAGAGCCTGAGGCATTTCACTCCCCAGGCTGTGCCTGGGGCCTAGCTGCCCCCGGGCCCCGCCCTCGGGCCCCAACTCTCTTCCAGGGAAGGGGCGTGGCGTGGAGAGAGACAATTACCAAGGCATGCTGGGATTTGTAGTCTACAGTCCTACAGCTGGGCAGGAGCAGCCCTATGCTGACCCCAGAAGAGGTTAAGGGGCAACTCATGAGCTTTTATTTTTCTTCCTTCTCTTTTTCTTCTTTTAAGTTGTTTTGTTGTTGTTGTTTTTTGAGACCTGTCACTATGTAGCCCTGGCCGGCCTGGAACTTGATTAGGTAGACCAGGCTGGCCTCAAACTCACATCAATCTGTCTGCCTCTGCCTCCCAAGTGCTCGAATTAAAGGCATGTGCCACCATGCCCAGCCTCTTTTCTTTTTCTGAAACAAGGATCTGCCTCGGTTGCCAGGGGTGGCTTCAAGTAATCCTCCTGCCTAAGCCTCCTGAGTAGCTGGGACAACAGGTACACACCACCGCACCCACCTTCTTTTTCTTTCTTTCTGGTCTTTTTGAGACAAGGTCTCCATGTAGCCCCAGCTGGTCTGGAACTCACTATGTAGGCCAGGCTGGTCTCAGTCTCACAGAGACCAATCTGCCTCTGCCTACTGAGTGCTGGGATTAAAGTTGTGGACCACCACACCTGACCCACCTTATTTTTCTATTAAGACATTTATTCGTTTTAGCATTCACAAGATACACTTTCTGCCTTTGGTGCTAAGAATTGAACCCATGGCCTGGCACATGCTAGATATTGATCTACACTCCACCCTCTACATAAGAATGTAAGAGTAGGGGCTAGGGAAATAGCTCAGTAAGCAAAGTGCTTGTCATGCAAGCATAAGGACCTGAATTTGGACCCCCAGAATCCACATAAAAAAGCAAGGTATGGCAATCCTGGGGAAGAAGACACAAATAGATCCCTGTGACTATTATCCAGCCTAGCCTAATTAGTGAGCCCTGGGCTAAGTGCCAGGGGATCTGCCACCATCTTCTGGCTTCCATGGGCATTACATGCATGGGTGCACTTACAAGCAGGAACAACACTCTTACACATAAAATAAAATTTAAAAATTTACAAAATGGAAATGGAGAGATGGCTCAGCGATTAAGAGCACTGGTTGTTCTTGCAGAAGACCCAGGTTCAAATCCCAGCACCCACATGGCAGGTAACAACTGTCCGTAACTCCAGTCCCGGGGGATCCGACAGCCTCTTCTGACCTCTGCGGGCATTGCATGACATGGGTGCACTTACCTACATGCAGGCAATACACTCATACACATAAAATTAAAATAACAAATAAAATATTTTAAAAATTTACAAAACAACAGCCAGGCATGGTGGTGCATGCTGTTAACCCCAGGACTCGGGAGGCAGAGGCAGGCAGATCTCTGTGAGTTCAAGGCCAGCCTGGTCTACATAGAGAGTTCCAGGTCAGCTGAGGCTACATGGAGACCCTGTCTCAAAAAGACTAAAAAAAAAATTTTTTTACAAAACAAAAACAAAGCCAATCTCAACAAAATAGGTGGCCTGTAGTCCCAGCTCCTCTGGAGGCTGAGGCAGGAGGATGCCTTGAGCTGAGGAAAGCACAGAAGTTCAAGGTCAGCTTGGGCAACATAATAAGACTTAAAAAAAAAAAGTTTGCTGGGTCAGTAAGATGGTTCATGATGGCTCATCAGTAACAGTACCTTCCATCAGGCCTCACTACCTGAGTTCTGTCTCCAGGATCCATCCACATAGTGGAAGGAGAGAACAAACTCCGACAAGTTGTCTCTGACCTTCACAAGTGCACTGTAGTATATTCACACACACATTCACACACAATATATAATGTAATTTAATTTTTTTTAAAGTTTGTGATTCAAAACATAACAGAAGCCACACCAACAGCCATCAGAGACATTTCTGAAGTGATTTTATGCAGAACCTTTGTTCTTCCCAAACTGTGTGAAGTTCGAATCACTCTCAACGTCATAAGGAAGCTGAAGGACCAAACACCTGGTCCCGATTTAGACAGACCCATGACTACGTGACCTCCAAGACTAGTCTCCTGTAAGGAGCCCGAGTCCTTACAGACTGAAGAAAAACTATCCTCTGAAAACAAAACTAAGTAAAAATTATATTTAGGGGGGTGGGGGATGACACAATATGATAGTCTACATTTGGGAGCCTGAGGCATCAGGACTGGGAATTCTAGGCCAGCCTGAGCTACATCTTAGACCATTTTCCCCCTCACCCCATGCCTAGTGAACTAATTTTATAGAAAAATAAAATTTTGCATGCTATCTTGATGTTCACTGTGTGCCAAGCACAACAGTGCTCTACAGCCGTGGGACCCTAGTTCTACGATAGCAGAACCCTTGTTTTCCTTTTCAGTCCATCCCTAGCTAGTGGAGGCTAAGTGGTAAATGGATAGTAGAAGCAAAGAGTGTGACTGAATGAGGAGAAAGTTTGCCTTTGCCCAAGAGGTTCAGAAACGCTTTCTAGAGGAGGTTGAGGGGTAAGTAGTAGTTACCCCATGTCAAACCAAGAGCCCATGGGAGTGCTGGACAGAAAAGAGATCTCCTGTAGGTTTAGAAGATAGAGTGTGGGGTTGGGGAGGGGATGGGGAATGGCTGGTGCTAAGACACAGCCAGGACTAGGTAACAAACAGTGTAGTGACAGCCTGAGTGAGAGACTTTCAAGATGAGGAGCTAGGTTGTGTGATTAAGAGGTCGGAAAGGCACCATGGAAATGAAACATTTCTATCTATCACCTGGATCTGCCCCTCCAGGATCATTTCTTTGAATAGCTCATTCCCTAGGTAACCATCCATCTTCCCAGGAGCAGATGGAGAATATCATTCAGAGATCGGGGCATCCCCTGTTTAGAAAGGGCTGCCAACCCTCCCCATCTGCCTCCAGTCCAGAGAACTCCTCCTTACCGGAGTTGCAGGGCTCATGGTTCTGGTTGGTCAAAGAAGCATTTCCAAGCAGGTTCCTGCAGGGTGGTAGGACTCAGGCTTCAGATATAAGAGGATCAGAAAGGGGGAGGCAGGAAAGGGCCACACAGTCCTAGGGAAAGTCACCCTTTTTTCTCTCCCCAGCTTTCCGGATTGATCTGCTCTGCCCCTCAGTTCCTGGTCAAGTCACCTGGCGATCTTGACCTAAGTCTCCAAGGTAGGGAGGAGGGCAGGGGCAGAGAACGCAGGGAGATGAGGAACAGGGCCAGTCCTCTGCCACTGGTCTGAGGTGGCCTAAGTCTTCATTATGAGGCCTAGTGGGACCTCACCCATGAACCCAGTCCTGGCAGTGCAGCCTAGCTCCTTAAGTCTCGGTCCCTGGCTCCTGTGTCTCCTTAATCTTGACCTGGAGCCACCCCAGCGCTTCCACCATTCGTGCAGTGTGTTCCTTGCTGGGGGATTCACCAGGACAAATCCTATCAGCCTCTGAGCTTATCCCCTCTTAGCCGTTCCAGGAACCAGATTGCCCAAGCCATGTTGTTTTTCATCTATGTGCCTTCACCTCACTCTTTGGTCCTGGGACATTCTGCCCCGACCCAACTCTGATTAAATATTCTACTCCCTATAGCAGGGGCAGGATGAGGGAAGGAAAAGAAGGGAGGGAATAAAGAGGGAGGGAGGAAGAGAGGGAAGGAAGGAAATAAAGGAGGGGAAAAAGAAGATGGGGATCCACCTCTCCCTGGGGCTCTGGGCAGGTGTTAAAGCACTGTTAAAACACTATTGAAATCTGTTAAAAGCACTGTTAAGTGTTAATGATAGTAATTTCTTCTATTTTCTAATGTTTTTCAAATGCTGCCAAGTAATCAACTTTTATTTTATGTGTATGAGTATATTGCTTCCATGTGTGTAAGTGCGCCCGTGTTGTGCAATACCACAAAGGTGCAGGATCCCCTGGAACTGGAGTTACAGATGGTAGTTAGCCACCATGTGGATGCTGGGAATCAAAGCCAGCCCCTCTGTAAGAGCAGCCAGTGCTATTAACCACTGAGCCATCTCTCCAGCCCCAAAAGTTAAGTTCTTTAGGTTCTCGCAGTCAGCACTCCTTTTTAAAATTTTATTATTTTTAATTTACATGTATGCGTATATTTCCTGCATGTAGGTTAAGTGCACCCCTGTAGTGCAATGCCCACACGGAGGACAGAAGAGGTTGCCGGATCCCCTGGTACTGGAGTTAAGGACAGTTGTTATCTGCCACGTGGATGCTAGGATTCAAACCCGGATCTTCTGCAAGAACAGCCAGTGTTCTTAACCACTGAGCCATCTCTCCAGCCCGTAAGCACTTCTTTTGGTGTTCATTTTCCTGTAAATAAGCACATGTTGGCGTCTCCCTTGCTGCTCTGAACTGCCTTGAGCAAAACGACTGAGAGTCAGACAGCTAGCAGGACTTCCCTTATGCCAGTATAGGCTAGTCTTTAAAAAACTGCACGAGATCACAGCTGATTACACAGGGCAGCCTCAGCGAAAGCTGTTTTAAGCAGCTTGTATCTCAGGCCTTGGTGAACTCTGGATGAACCTGCTGTGACCATTTCCACCTGGGCCAGATGAGAGCACGCACCCCCTGGCGGCTAAGCAGAAGGACTTCTGTGACTGCTCTACGGAGGAAAAGCTGTGATTGGTTCAAACACAAACCTCCACGGCTGTGACTGGTACCAAGAGGCAAGGCTATTACTGGTTCAAACACTGGTTCTCTAGCTACATTAAGTGGGTTGCTCAGACTGTGTGGTGCCTGTCACCTAAGGACACCCTCCTGCCCTGTCTTCTCTGGTGTTACAACATTAGGTCTAATAAAAACTTCTCTCAAGTGTTTCTTACCTACTTTCAGCAGTGTATGTTGAGCTGGTACCCGTGAAGAAAGAAACAGGAACAGCAGGACAGCCAGATGGCACAGTGACATATGAAATAGCTTAAGGGCAAGGAGGAGGCTGGCAGGAGCAGAGAGATGGATAGCAAGAGAGCGTGGAGAGCTGACACTGAACAAGGATAAACAAGGTAAAGCCCTGGTCATGGCTTTACCATCACATCTT